TCCCCGCTCCCAACAGCTCCCTCCAGCCTGCTAGACCGCCCCCCACAGCCCCTTCTTTCCTGGGCTCCGGCTGGGTTCACACCCGAGCGTACGGAATATGCGCGTTTGTCGCGCATTTTTATAGCGGTTTGCAGTAAAATAAATACACGACAAACGCGCGTTTCCGAGGGCTATCCAGCTGTATGCTAATGGATACGCACAGCAAATACGCCCCAAAGAAGCTCCTGTACTTCTTTGGGCGTAGGGCGTTTTTCAGCGTGTTCCTACGCGCTGTAAAACGCCCAGGTGGGAACCATGCCCATAGGCAATTATTGGTTTTCACATTTTGAGCGTTTTACAGAGCGTAGGGACGCACTGTAAAACGCCCAGGTGTGAACCAGGCCTTAATGTCTAATGCAAGTTCCATAGACCCGCATAAGAGGTAAGGACACCGAGGGACAGTCCACCAGCCGGAGCGGAGGGGGAGAGAGGAGAGTGCTAACCACCAGGGGAGCGGGGATCAGGTAAGTAAATCTGCTTTTCTCCCACCCCTAGGCATAAGCGAGCAGTTAACCTTTGCAGCGCAGGGGTAGCCCCCCTGCAGAATAAAGATCTATATCTGCCCTCCTACATAATAACTTTGTCCTTTAATCCACATTTCTCCCATATATTGCTTTCTGTCATTTAAACACGGTTATGCACTATCAGGTGCTGGGGGACCTTTGGTGATCTCAGGCCCATGAAGCTCAAGGCTCCAAGACAGTAAATCCTTACGCAGGAGTCAATTGCCGGTTTGACAACATCTGCACGGTTTGCGGTTGACTTAGACATTAATTATCCTGGATTTTAAAACGTGCACATCATAGTAATAAAACTGTAACAGCGCACGTACAAACACCTGACAACCCACTTTAAACTGATAATTACAAGACGGCGAATAACGGCGCCTACAGCAGGTACGAATAATGATCCAACACAGTGTAATCCAGCTGATACCGAAGCCTGTCAGAGCGTATTATTAATATACAGTACTGACAATTCTGTGTGCAAAAATGTGGGCACCAGTATGGCTAACGCAGGGATAGGCCAATGCAACACTCCAGCTGTGGTGAAGCTACAGATCCCATCATCCCACTCCAGGGCTAAGCCCCGCCTACATTTTTTCCCTGCAGCGATCCTATTGGTGCTTAAAAACAATTTAATTGGCTAGAACACGGGTGGGCAACTCCAGCTGTGTTTTAAAAGAGAGCTATGGGGTAAGTGTTTTTCCCCATAGTTCTCCTAAGGGTCACGGGAGGACATATACTAGCATCCTCCCGTGACCCAAAGCTCAGTATACCGCGAGCCACAGCTCGCGGTATATGGAGACCGCCGCAGCCGGGACGGATCCCGACATTACTGTCGAGATCCACCCAGCTGTGTGATTGACAGCTGGCTCTGCCTATATAGAGGCAGAGCCAGCTGTACCCGCCACATCCGTTCCGCCAGTCAGATCTGGAGGATCGGAGAGGAATCCCTGCAGGGAGCCGTGAGTGACAGTCACGGCTCTCTGCAGGGACAGGATCGAGAAGTGAGCGAGCGGCGGTATGTGTTCGCTCACTTCTCGATCTATTGAGCCGACGTGTGACAGATTCATGTCACACGTCAGCTAGAACTATGAGGTTGAGTGACTTTCACTCACCTCATAGTTCTAAAAAATCCCAACATGCCTCTGCGTCTGGGAGTCATGCCTGTAACTGTCAGTCTTGCAATGCCTCATGGGACTTGTAGTTCCACAACAGGCAAGGGGCCGGAGATGCCAACCCCCTGGGCTAGAGGGTGGCACATGGGCAGGACTTTGCATACATATATGCTCTGTAGTTGACCACTCGCCTTAATCCTGCTTTTTTTTTGGTTATGGATCCAATTGTCATTTTCAAACATATTTATAAAGATTTGGGTTTTAAAACCTTTTTTTTTTTTTCCACTGATCCAAAAACAGTCAGAAACACCCACAAGGGGTTTAGGTTTTTCAAAAATCTGAATAGAAAACACAATCAGATTATTGAACAATGTGACTGAAATGTGAAACTATAATCAGGAGGGGTGCACAGAAGATAGTTTTATGGCTAACAAAGGCAACAATAGACATCCTTGTGGTGCTCACCCTCGTGCGGGGCTTTTACCTTACATCTATATGGTGCTTTTTTTTTTTTTAAGCACTAGACAGGCGCGCTGTCATAGGTCATTGTGTGTTTTCCTTTGTGTGTGCCGAGCTATTTTTAGTAATTTGGAGTGGACAGGGTTAACATCTATTGACCAAGTATCTGTTGCCAGTGCATCAAAACGCATGTTAAATTCATTTTGATGCGCCGCCATTTACTTCTATGGGCCCCCCCGATGTCCAGGAACACACAACAAAAGTTGAGTTTTGTGTCACACAGATGGGAGCGCGGATCATTGTTATTATGGGGAAGTTGGACGCATACGTTCTATCACATTGTGTACGTTAAAAGGCAGGAGTGTAAATGGGCCCTAAAAACGGCCAATGGGTTCAGGTTAAGGTGCAATCGCTGCCCACCCTGTGCAACGGCGGATTGTAAAGAGTTAGCGGGATGATGAACAACAAATATGGCCAACTGTCTCCTTTAGGGCCTGTTCACACGACGTCCGTTTTCTGTGCTGACCCGATCCGTACGCTCCTGCACTAAAAATGCATCCCAATTGTATTATATTATTAATTAAGAATTCATCATCAATAACACAATACAAATAATAGAAATATTTTGTTATTAAAATACACTTTTAAAAAAATTGGGTTATTAATAAATTAATAATCAAATAATAAAAAATACAAATATTATAAGCCAGGATTTATATCGCACCAACAGTCTGTACAATATAAAAGAAGACATTACAATACACATCAAGACTTAAACGGATACATTTGTGTTATAAATAAGGTGCAATACTATCTAGAGGGTACAAAAAAGTACAAAACGTGATCAATAAATGGGATATGGCCGCTAAACCCCACCAATGTCCCAGTGACAGTTGTTTCTCAATCACCAATCACACTGCAGAATGGCAAAGACAACTCTCACTGCCTAAGAGGTTTTGCAGCAGCTGCGCCACTGATGGGCGATGACCAATGAATGAGGATTCCAATCTGCACCCACATCTGGGCCACTAACATTCATTTGGCCTGCAGTTCAAAATCTGTCGGCAGCCTCCGGGAGTGGGTCAGATAGAGGGACGGTTGGCTGGGCGACAGTCCTGTGTGAGAAAAGGGAAGCAAGGGTGGGAAACTGTTGTTCCAGCTGTTGTGGAACTACAAGTCCCATAAAACATTGCAAGTCTGACAGTTACAGGCATGACTCCCAGAGGCAGAGGCATGTTGGGATCTGTAGTTAAAGCACAGCTGGAGGGCCGGAGTTGCCCACCCTGGTGTAAAGTGACAACCTTGTAACATAACTCTCTGGGATACTTTGTGGCTCAGCCGACATCCCGGGACACACCATGGAAACGCAGAACTGCTGGAAATCCACAACTTTTTTTGGGTCTGCGAATTGGCCAATTAGAGAAGAATCCTCACCTGTCGCTGAACGTTAAACCCCACCCCCCAGCATGCAAATCTGGAAGATTTCAGTCACCCTGAATGAATCGCTCTCCCACATTCTATCAGATTTAAAAATACTTTTCATCATCTATCCCAGGTGTGGGCAACTCCGGCCCTCTAGCTGTTGTGGAACTACAAGTCCCATGAGGCATTGCAAGACTGACAGTTACAGGCATGACTCCCAGAGGCATGTTGGGATTTGTAGTCAAAGGCACAGCTGGAGGACCTGAGTTGCCCACCCCTGGTCACCAATAATGCCCAGAGAGCATCAGTGATTGGCTTCATCGATATTTACGTATTGGCGGCCCAGTTACATCGGGAATGGGAGCTAAAAAAATCTCTGCAATAACCTTCCCCCTACCTGTCATAACGGTGGTGCCTGACCCTCCCCAAGAATTTTAAACTTTTTACTATCAAGAACCAGATTCCAGCTGAGTGAGTGAGACTCCAAGCCTGAAAAAAAAAAATGATACGGCAGGGGGATCTTGTCACCAAGAGGACAGAACGAGCTGGTGATCCAACTTATCATCCGGATTCTCCAAGAACTGAAACATCACTTGGCGAAGGGGGCACCCCCATTTTTAGGACCCGATAGCGGACAGCAAACCAGGAGGTGACGACGCAGAGCGGTGAGGCGATCCTGAAAACCAGAGGCGACGGCGCCGAGCGGCGGGGCGATCCTAAAAACCTGAGGTCACGGCACAGGCCAGTGGGGCGATTCTAAAAACCAGATGTCACTGGACAGATCTGACGGGGCGATCCTAAAACCCAGAGGTGAGGGCACAGAGCGGTGGGGCGATCCTAAAAACCTGAGGTCACGGCACAGACCGGTGGGGCAATCCTAAAAATCAGAGGGGCCATCCTAAAAACCAGAGGTGACGGCACAGAGCGGTGGGGCGATCCTACAAACCAAAGGTCACTGGACAGACTGGTGGGGCGATCCCACAAACCAAATGTTACCCTATAGACCAGTGGTGCATCCTAAAAACCAGATGTCACGGCACAGACCGGTGGGGCGATCCTAAAAACCACAGGTCACTGGACAGACCAGTGGGGCAATCCTAAAAACCAGACATGATGGTACAGACTGATGGGGCGAACCTAAAGACCAGATGTCACCCTACAGACCAGTGGGGCGATCCTAAAAACCAGATGTCACCAGCCTGCTGCCTCTACTAATCAGGAGCAGCACCTGTGCACCCTTGTGGCTTTACTGCAGCAGGTACAGCGCACAAGTCTACCAAATCCAGGATTAAAGGGGACATCCCATAAGAAGCCTACAGAGGAGATCCATGATCTGTGCCCGCTGCACAAGGCACCAGCAAGCAGCTTACAGGCAGGCGTCTCCAGCTGCTACCACCACCCCCAGGCACCCAGCCACTGCCCCCCGCAGAGGGGGGATCGCTCATCATGCATGCCTTACCTGGGCAGGATGCTCGCAGTGACACGTCTGCACAGGCTGAGCTCTTTGTGTGCGCTCTGCACGGTGTCTGCCTGCCTAAGAGGCTCCCAGTGGCAGCAGCTGCAGCAGCCTGCCCAATCCTCCCTGCCCAGCACTGATGTCAGCGCAACCTGGGAGGGGCGGGGTCGCCACCAGCGCTCAGCCAATAATCGGCGCGGGTAGGCGTGGATTGTAGACTGGAGGGCGTGGCTCTGTTCTCAGCGCTGTCCTGGGAGAGGAGTTCATTCACTGTCACGGGACGGGAGCCAGGGGTCTGCTGGCAGCCAATCAGAGCTCGAGCCTGGGGCACAGGGTCACCGGTAGAGTAAAGCCGGTCACCCACCAATGCATATTCTGCAGATTTTAGGCTGCATTCACACCGGTGAGTTTATTTAAAATGCATACATTACATCAAAATGCATGTTAAGACGCGTCAACATGCAAATGGAAAGGAACTTTGTATCAAATATCAATGCCAATCATAATGTACATTGAAGCACGCCATGACGCGTGTATGTGCTTCATGACACACGTCGTTGCGTCTCTAAGCCTCATAGCTAGTGAAGCACGTCATTGGGTAATGCATTTATGCGCATTTTTCATTTGTCGCACATATAGCAGCCCCCAATGACATGCGCCAAATGCAGTAAAGAAGCTCAGACCTCAGACATCGTTTCGATGCTTTGCGCCTTTTTTCAGCCACCATATGTTTTTTGTGTACTTGACTTACATTTTTGTGAATTTCCTATGCTCCTCGGCTTCATCCAGTCGTGAGAATCCCGTGCGAATGGCAATCGCCCAGCATTTCACGGGGCAGAAGGTTTATAAATTGGCCCCTAAATGTCATCCAGTTGGGGTTTAGGTCACCCCTGTAGTTTAGGTTCTAGAAAGTGGCCCTGATAAAAATTTGGACCCCCGAGCCCTTGTCCAACAATTCTCTAATGTTCTCGGCCATTTGTAGAGATCAGCAGCCAATCCAGACAAACTTGTAATCAGACCCAAAATGCACAACACAGTATATCTAGTCCACCACCCTGAGATCACATGCTGCCATGGCCCTATTTTGGGGCTACGTCCGGGCATAGGACAATAAACCCTTGCAGTGTGGGGGGCACTGCAAGGGATTTTTTTTCTTATGTCCGGAGTTGGCCTTTAGAGCTCCACAATGCCAATAAGTCAACTGCTCTAGTTTCAAATTTATATTGACTGTGCAACTTTGGCTCTCCAGCTGTTGTGGAACTACAAGTCCCATGAGGCATTGCAACGCTGACGAGCTGATTGCACGATCAGATTGTAAAGTGTGACCAACTTAAAATCTTATATAAGCATTAACATGTTAATTTGATTCCAATACTTTTAAATCAGCGGATTTCATTGAAACCATGTGAACTCCCTAGTCATAGGAGGATAACACTCCTGTCAGAGGATGACAACACTGCCCTGTCTGCCAATTGTCACCTTATCACACAGGCTTCCAATGGAGACTACACATAGCCATTTAAACACACATCACACAAGTATGGTCCACTGTTGTCACCATTAGGAAACCCATCCTAGGAAACACCGTGCAGCCATCACTGCACTACTTGCTACTTGTAGACAAGGAAAAGTGGCGTCACGCGGGGGAAGGGGGGGGGGATGCAGCCCGCTCTGGGTGACACCATCAGTGGGGTGACACCAAACTGACTGACAGTCGTGCACTCGGTCATGTACTGAGAGCCTGACAACTGCACGAGAAAGGAGGGGGCCCGGCTGCATACCTAGGGTTGCCACCCTCTCTTTCAGCGAAACCCGAACACTCTAACGACGCACGGAATTTTTTGGGGGAGAATGAGTCGTGGCTTTTTCATATGTACATAGCACCACCCATTCATATGTAAATATCACAGTTGAGACTTTTCTCAGTGGGGGCCAGTAGCCCCTATCTTAATTTTGGGTGCCCCTGTCTGCCTGACATCTTGTGTATGGGTTTCTGCTGCCATGAAACCCGAACACAGCATTCAAAACCCGGACTGTCCAGGTGAATCCTGGACAGGTGGCGACCCTATGCATACCTTATGCAGCCAGATCAATGTCTCCTCCTCTCTTCACCGGCATCCATCACCAAGATGGAAGTGCACATGATTTTGTTACACGCGTGCATAATGGCGTCACGTGTATACATAATGACATGCGCACTAGGCCTGGTGATGCCTCTGACAAGAAGTGGCTCCAAAGCAGCTGCAGAGGATCAGCAGCACTGAGATGCAAAAAAGATAACAACTAGGACTTTATATTTTAAAAAATGGCGATTCTTTAGAATACACGGCGCCTTAGCATTCTTACTGTCACCCGGTAAGGTTCTACATCTACTTCTTTGGTCTACGCCTGTCTTGAGGCGCCATTAGTATAATCCACTATCTAATTTAATACATTTTTTCTTTGCCGCAAGTTCATTTTAAGCTGGATATCTCCATTTCGGCTTCCGCTTTCATAAACCAGCTCTCTGGTAGATGTGCTCCGCATCATGTATAATGTATGGTGTATTGATGCCTTGAGTATAGGATGTCCATCACTTCCTGTGGTGTTTGGGGTGGGGGATGTTCTCTTGTGGTCAGTTTAACAATCCATCTAAAAACCTGCTACAAAGTGCTTCCTTTACTCAGCGGAGATACATTTGTGTTTTTACACCCCCCCGGCTCCGTCTGTGTTACTAGGATTATGGAATAATAGGAGCAATATTGAGGAGTGGAAAGGAAACACAATCCTTACTTCCTTGGCAGTAAATGTATCATTTGGTGGGATTGCGGGGAAAAAAATGTATTGGTGGATTAGTTTTAGGCAGGGGTAGGCAACCTCAGCACCCCAGCTGTCCCATAATCCCAAAATCCCATATCCCAAATCCCATAATGCCTTTGCCTCCAGGAGTCATGCAAGACTGGTTGTCAGTCTGGCAATGCCTCATGGGACTTCTGATTCCACAACAGTTGGAGTGCCGAGGTTGCCCACCCCTGGTGAAAGGGCTCATTGGGACATACAATGTATAGGAAGCTGCCCATAGATATGAATGGCAGTGCATGGCTATACCCGGGTATACACCAGAGCTAACATAAATCCACATATAGCATACCCCCAATATCCAACTGGCACTGACATCTCCCCAGCTTCTTGTGGGTTCAGGGTCTTGGGCCGTCTTGATTGGCTGGGCCGGGATGATGTAAGCATGTGCAGCTCAGTGTACATTCTAAAACATTAGAGAGGAGGAAGGTAAGAAGTCTTTATTGCATAAGAGCTGACTTATAACTCTTCCACCTAGAGTACAGCTAGGTGAATACTGTTTGCACACCACTAGATAGCGCTTAGGAGCATAGGAAGTTTCTATGCTCCTCATCGCCATCTAGTGGCAGTAGTGGCATACAAACGGCATCTGCCCAGCTATACGCTGGGTGAAAGAGTTATAAGTCAGCCCCATAGTATGCCTCTGCAAGAAAAACTCTTCCTGCTTGCAAGTTTTTAGATTGGGGGCTAATTCTGCCTTAAGGGCTCGGTCACATGGGCGCAGAGGTCTGCATCCAGGGACGTATTTCAGTACCTATGTGCAAGTATATGCTCGGAGCACCATTTGCCAGAGTACAGCTACAGCCTGCCATTGATTTGTACATGTGGGCTGTACACAACACCTGTGGATCCCGTGCATAGAGATCTGGGCGTTAATTAACCTCTTTGCCCATGTGAATGAGCCCCAACTGAGGTGAACATTTGCACCCATTGGAAGATGTTACCCTCATCTCCTGTGCCACTGATAACTGTATAATTTTGGACTTCCCATCACTTTCTGCTCTGGGGACAAATAGAGAGTGTACATTACCCAACTGGTACACATACAGAGATAAAAGCCCATCCACATTCCTCCTAAAGCTTAAATAATAATTTGGGCGAGGGTTATATCAAAAGTTCAATGACTGTTTCTACTTGGGGTTGCCCTTTAATCCCCAAAGGCTTTCTCTAACACCTTTAGAATAAAAGAGAGATCAGCTGTATTCCTGTTGGAGCTGCAGAGAGGCTTGTGATCTCTCTGTACAGCATCATTACGAGATTTACCATCAAGTGCCCAGAAGTGGACAAAAAAACAGAAACCCTAGAGAGTAAATGTTGTACTGTGTAGCTATCCCAATTACTAAACTGCGTGAGGATCTTGCCCACAAGGGGCTTAGAGGAAGGGGGGGAAGTGGGTGCACGATCTTTCCCGCTGATCCCCTATTCACACCACTCAAACTGTTTTCTTAGTTTCGGAGGTCTGCACTGTGCAGACCTGCGAGGAATATTTATAATTAGATCTCAGAATAAAATGTCTGCAGGCAGTTTGTCTCCATCCTGTCTACTACAATATTCCAGTGCCAAGCCAGATTATCACTTGATGTTGCTGAGTGAGTGCCATGTGGCAGGCCGGGTGATCGGTGGAAGAGGTGTTTTTGCTTTGTATTTGGAATCCAGAACACCCCCCACCCTTTCCTTTGCCTCGGCTTCTAGGAAGTGCCTTCCCTCCTGACCCATGGCGAGATTTGTTAATGCCTTTATATATCAGTGCCTGCCCCAAGCATGCAGCCGGAGCATCTCAGTGAGCCAGCAGCAGGAGATCGGCCTTAGAATGAGAATTATTTATCATAGCCCTGGCAGAGACGGGTGCTCTGCCGCTCATTATCCGGCGAACAATATGGATATAAATGGGCTGTCGAGAGTCATGAAATTAATTTTTCACTGTCGTGTTATATATTTAGATTGCTGGGAAACAGACACAGGCAGAGGAAGGGCCATTAAGAGGTGGCGGAGAGGGATGCTAGGGATATAACCAGGGCTGTGGCTCTATATAATGGCCCACAACGCAGTCATTATAGGGCCCCGCAGCCGCAGCCTGCAACATCCACATAAAAGCAAACCTGTATTTTTCCCATTCAAGATAAAGGTTTGCTTTTAAAGTCCAACTCCAGGCTCCTTCCTCAGTGAACCTCTCTCCGGGCTTCCCTTTGAGCTACATTTTCCCTGCTGAGTGCTCTCCCTCTTTGGATCTTCTCCCAGCAGTGGGCAATCCTCAGTGATGCCGAGAGGGGTGTTGACATGATTATATCA